AGGTCCACAGTGCATAGAACATTTGGCCAGAATCCTACAGCCATTAGGACTGGTTCTGAGTTTAAACAACCTATGACACTTGGAGGGGACTGAGAAAATCATCACATCTATTACATATGCTCTCATCCCTCTTTCCTTCACCATTTTTTCCTCTCTCTCATCTCTTTTTTCTCATGGTTCGGATCTGTTAGTAGCATCTGTATCCTGATCCCTTACTAATAATTCTCCATCAGGAAATTTCTCAAAGCACTCAGGAGGCTGAGGTGGGAGGACTGTGATTTGGAGACCAGTTTGGACTATACAGCAAGACCCTGTTCTCAGTAGCAACAACAACAAAAAAATTTGTTAACTCCTAATGTTTCCAGAGCCCTCCCTACAGGCAAATGCAGTGCTAGACATTTAAACTCCTATCACATCAACTGTTATCACCCAATCCAAGATTACTGTTCACAGTTATACCTGTGGAAACCAAAGCTTGCAAATAACTTGCCATGGGGAAAAAAGTAGTGGAATGTCACCAAGGCCCCTGTGGTTTGTTCTATACTCATCTCTTCATCTCTTTTCATGAAGCTCTAAATATTCTAATTCTTGACTTTTCTCTGATGTGGTCTTATCTAAGCATCAGAGACTGGGGGGAGGGAGGAACACTAGAGGATTAAAAAAAAAAGCTCTCTTTGAATAGTTATCTGTGTAGATTCTCTTTTTTTTAAAGTGGTACTGGGGTTTGAACTCAGGGCCTACACCTTGAGCCACTTCACCAGCCCTTTTCTGAGATTTTTTTTTTTTTTTTCCCCAAGATCGGGTCTTGTGAACTATTTGCCCAGGCTAGCTTTGAACCACAATCCTCCTGATCTCTACCTCCTGATCAGCCGCACCCAGCTCTTTGTAGTTCTGAGGATTGAATTAGGGCTTTCTACAAGCCAAGCATGCAACTCTATCACAAAATTATATCACCATCCCTTCAAGAATATTGAGAAATAAAGTAAAAATAAAAGTACCTGAACATTCCTTTTATCATAAGTTAGGATCAATCAATAATGTTCACTTAGGGAAAGTACTCAAACATGTTTAACCCACTTTATTCAAATTACATAGCAACAAATTTACACTTGAAATACATAAGGTTCCCTGGTAAAGATAAGTGAAAAAATACTCTAACACCTTACTCACACAACTTAACCAAAATTAACAATCTTTCCCATTGTCACATTCACTATTGTTCTTAGCTGGAGCAGGCTGTGGTTATTTTATTATCTGAAAACTATGAAGTTTCCAAAACTATTTCTAGGGCTACCTCTTGCCTGCTCAGAAAACAGTAGCGGTAAAAAAAAAAAAAAAAAAAAAAACAAAACCAAAAATTCCCACCTACATTTCTTATAACATAGGTTCACCTGCTTTAGTTCCTTATTTGAAACCAACCATGGTTCAACTCACATGGCCCTAGTTCCAGTTTTGGCTATATCCACATTTGTCCTCATAAGCCAACTGTGGAGAATATTCCAAAAGCAACCATAATTAGGGACAAACTACCATCAACCTTTGGTGAGGCTTATGTATAGCAAAAGAATGGGATGGCTATTTTACTAGCACACATACAAGCAACCACACTTATGCAAAACCAAAATAGGTATGTTCCACCCAACTTAAAAAAATCTGAAGATTAAGTATGATGTTGGTCACAAAACAGAATGCTAACAGGTTCCCCATTTTAGTAATCTGGCCTTTATAGTCTTCCACAGACATAACAGTCTGTTATAACTCAGATTTTAAGTAAGTCTAGTCTTCCATATTTTGGAAAACACAAATATCCAGTATAGCACATTGGTTCAAGTCCTGGACTCTGCTACATTTTTACTGTGACATTCTGGATAGCAGATTCTCTAACCTCCCAGCCTTTGTTGCCTTGTCTACCAAGTGGTAGCAGTATTTATTGGTGTGAAGATTAAATGACTAATGTATTGCTTTGAAGACTCAGTAACATGCCAACTGCTCAATAAATTACTTTGTCTAGTTAGCTCTTTCTGTTCAACTACATTTTATTAGCGGTCTTTTTAAGCTAAACTACATTTGGGTTATATATCGGAAGATAACCATATAACCATGTAAGTTTCAAAATTACTTATTCTCGTAAATGTTAAAAAGTTGGTTTGTTAAAAACAAACTAATCCTAAGCCAGGCTCCAGTGGCTTACACCTGTTATCCTAGCTTCTTGGGAGGCTGAGACTGGGAAGAACTTGGTTCAAGGCCTCCTTAGGAAAATAATTCTCCACATCCCCTCTCTAAAATAAACAGAGCAAAACTGGACTGGAGGTATGGCTCAAGCTGTAGAGCACCTGCTTTGCAAATGGAAAGACCTGAATACAAACCCCAGTCCCACCAAACAAAAAAAAACAACAGAAAAAAAAAAAAAAAACAACCCTTTACTTTTCATGCTCAGAATTCTACACTGCTAAGAAGTACCTTTTTCATTTCCAAAACAATACTTTTAATCCACCAGTTTCACTATCTTGTGCTAATAATAATACTTGCCTACAACCTGTTTTCTCCTGAAACCTACCTGGCACACCCCCAAACATAACTCATTTTACCATTCAGCTTGCCTTTAAAGCTCATCACAATTATCCTAACATTTTAGTATTAGGTAACAAATAATACAAAAACCTAAAAAGTCTTAACACAATTCAGCAATGAAAATAAAACTTGACTGTTTCCCGAAAGTAGCTGGCATATACTAGGGAACTTGTGATTCCCTGACCAATACCAGAGATGGTCAAGATTTTAAATTTTCATGGACTCAAGATGCAACTAAATCATGACTAAAAGCCAAGTAGAACATAATTATTAACCTCACTGTTGGGAGGATGAGTCCCTAGCTATTTTAGCTACCTTAATCATGTCTAAAATGTTCAAATTATCACTTGGAGGACAAGTTTTGTCTTTATTATTTAGCATGCTTCAAACTTTCCTGAACTTGCTAAACAAAGAGGTAAATCCTTCAAAAGGTTGGAAAAGAGGAGCTTAAAACTTTCAAGTGGTTAGGTAATATGAATAAGAACAAATTTAAGAATGACTTTCATCAAGCAGTAAAAAGAGATGTTACTTATTAAGCTATGTTATCTTTAATGTTACCTAATTTAGACAACAAGCAATCAGTGTAAATTTGTATTTTATGGTGCTTCAGAGAATATAATAAATGCAAATTATAATGTGAACATGCCTCCCAATGATAGAGAACAAATCCACAGTTCAACCCAACTTTAAACAAAACTGTAACAACAATGACCTGTAAGTCATACTCAACCAAAGGCTTCAAGTAACACAACAGTAGATATCCTATTGAAATGAAAGTACCTCGATAATTTCTGGCATCTTAATGGCTCATGACCTATGTCTCCATTCCTATATAGTATTGTCAAATACAGTGAATAATTTTTCACTCTATCTTGTGGCACAAGTTCTTATAATATTAGTAAGTACGTCTGTATATTTTATTAAATCCAACGAAAAACCCAAGGAACAAAATAAGGCACTACTTTCAACTCATTGTTTCTTCAGGACATCAAAAGAGTGACCAAAAGACCAAGACACTGAACTAGGGCCAAAGTTCCAGAAGCTTTAATCCCAAACAGAACTGTTGCCGATTTATTAATAATAAACACCATGGCAAAACCACTTTGCTAACCTTGGGCCTTCAGTAGAATCAAGCACAACCCATTTCATAAAGTAACAATCACAAGGAGCTTAGCAGGGTGGTCATCCTATTACTGCAAATCCTGCTGCCAATGACAACCTCAGGCTGAAAACCAGAATGTCTAACTTCTGTGCTGAAGTCAACTTTTCTCATGGTCTAAAAGAACACTCAGATATACAAATATGTACTGTTCTTTCCACTTTTGGGGCCTGTGTGTGTGTGTGTGGGGAGTCGGTGACACTTCTGGTAAGTGAAAAGTTTCCCTGACCGAGAAAGGAACAAAAAGTAATAAATTGAAACGGGAATACCTCTGGCTCATCGTCCTAAAATGAGGAACATAAAAAAAAAAAGAACAGCATATACAGCTTATTAAAATATAGCTTATTCTTTCCAGAATGAACACACCTACAGTGTTTTAAGTCAAAACTTACAAGAGGAGACTTAAAGTTCTCTTAATTCAGTTGTGAATTTCAACAAGCATCAGTACACCAGGAACCTCAAAAGTGTTAGACCAAGAAGTTCCACAGAAAGGCCAATAGGGTCCTTTGTAAATGTACACATCCAAGAGCCCATTATCAGGATTTGTCTTGAGTACACACACAGATTTGTCACCTAAAATCACCCGCCCCACTCCCCCCCCCGCCCCCCCCCGGCACACGTTGGCATTTTCAGTTTATAGGCGGGTTTTAGCTGGAACAGCTAAAACCAGGAAGCTCCAGAGTAATTACAGGACTTGGTGGAAGTCATCTTGGGAAAGGTGGAAGACTCAGAGAAATAAGAGGAAGCCAGAAAGAGAATGTCCCTGGCCACCTCTCCTTCCCACACCATCAAACTTCACCTACAGAGAACTTGGAAGTCCAGGAGGGGGAGGCCATTTTAATAAGGCCTGGCTGAGGAACTCGTGAAGGGAGGGGAAGAGAGGAAATCAGGCAAGGGCGTTCGCAAAGGAAGGCCCAGTACTCTCCTCCAAAAGCACCCGAGTCGGGTGGCAGCACCAGAAGCTAGAAGAGCGAGAAGCTGGACTTAAGGGCCTGAGAGGGCTACAAAAGTAGCGGTGGCTTATCACGAGGGGTGCCGAATGGTCTGAGCCCTGGGAGCGCGGGCCCCTCACCCCCAAGAGGAGAAAGCACTCCTTTTCGGGCCAGCCGCGCCGACCCTCGCCCTCGAGTCAGAGGCTACTACCCAGAGGTCCAGAAGGCGGGAGTTGGCTACAGCCTGGTTCTCCTCATCCGGCCATGCGGCGCGGGGGCGGCCATCCTGAGGGGTCCGGGATCCAAGAGGGCACAGGGGGGCCGGACGCGGCGCTCACCCGCGGGCCGCCTCCAAGCTCTTAATGAGCTTTTTGATCTTCCATATTTCCACGTTCCTGTCGGCAGCACTGGGGTCGTCCGCCATCTTCTCGCCTCCTCCTCCCTAGAGCGGCCCGGCGGGGCCCGGAGACACCAAGACCACAGAGTTAGCGCCGCCGCTGGGGCAGAGCGGCTCCCTTCCTCGCCACCCCAGAGAGGCCTTCCTCTCCCCTCCCTAAGCGGACCGCCGCGTCGGTTGCCGGCCTTTCCGTCTCCTGTTTTACCTAAGGGCCCAGTCCTGGGCGGCAGCGGCTGCTCCTCCCCGGCGGCGGCTCCGCGGCGGCGGCGGCTCTGACGTAGGACACCGGCTCCCTCTCTCCAGGCAGCTGCATGTGTTGCAATCCGCTCACATGGGGCCTGTGATATCACTTCCTCCGCCAGGGGCGGAGTGGAAGGAGGCGGACGGAAGGGAGGGGGCCGGTGCGGATGAGAAGCTCTTCGTGCGCCGCGACTTGCCATTGGTTCTCGGCAACGCGGCCTACAACGGGCCTGCTGATTGGCCATACTTGGAGCCGCGCTGCCTTGTGAAGTAGAGGTCGGGGGCGGGAGTTATCGCCTTCCTTCCGTCCCGGCAAGCCAAGGGGAGGAAGCGGGCGGAAGACGGTGGGTCTCGCGAGCATTTACATGAGCCCCTGCGGGATGGAATGAGGGTGGTTCTTAAAGGGCGAGGCACAGGTGTTGTAGGCTTTGCTGTTCATCCTCCTTGAATAGACTGCGTGTCTGAAGCTGTGCGACGTAAAGGCTTGGCGTTCGGCCCCAACGCGCGCGTTGAATTGTGCTTGAGATGCCTCAAAGAGACGTCCCGCGCGGAGCGACTTCATTGCTGACGAAGCTCTGGGCCTGTGTGCGTCACGGCTCCGTGGACGAGTATTCAGAATCCCCGCTAGTGGATCGGAGTTAGTAGCCTTCCAAGGCTGATCCTGATCCTTCACCTGCAGGGGCCCAGGAGAATTGTTTTCTATCGCTGCAGTGCGCGTATGGGTTCACTTTGAACCTTCTGGACTTGAAGGAAGTAGGGGCTGCCTGAGGTTGGAGACCTGCGGTTGTCTGACAATGTGTACTTTGGTCTGAATTGTTGAGGGGGCGGGGGCGTATTTAAGCAAAATGGGCAGCCGCATACATTAGAACTTTTTAGTTGTTTTTGGCCTGCCTTACCTCACTTAGTTGGGTTCAATTATTGACCGTGTGCCAGGTCCCGTGGGTACAGGTGTGAACCAAATACGTAACGTGCCCACCCTAATGGAGCTTATAATGTAATTGGGTTTATAAGCATTTGTCATTTTTATGCCTTTATATGTTAAAAACAATTGCAGAAATATTTATTTTACAATGTTTTGACAGTGTATGATAGAGGACCCATTTCTGAAATGAGGCCTGAAGGATGAGTAGTTTTGTCAGTAAGGGAGTATAATACATTTAAGGAACTACAAAAATTCCGTGTACTGGAGCAGAGCAGAAATGAGGAGAGGTCATGTAGGGCCTTGTAAACCAGGCTTGCCTTTTAAGAACCCCTGCTTGGTTGCAAAAGGCAAAAGTGGAAGCCTAGAGACCATTTTGGCCGCTTCGCTATCATGTGCAAGATGATTGTATCTTAAAGAAGAGGGTGGTGACAGTGCTGCCAGAAGTGGATGGATAATGGTACTGAGTATATGAGGAGTGGCTGGTGGAGTGACTCAAATGATAAGAGTGCCTGCCTAGCAAGTGTGAGGCCCTGAGTTCAAACCCCAGTACCACTAAAAAAAAAAAAAAAAAAGTATATGAGGATTACAATGGATAGGACTGGATGACGGTTTGGATGTGGACGCAACACTGCCTTGCGGAGTTGTGACAGTTACTGAAGTGGGAAAGATGAGGAACAAGTTTTGGGATAGTTAAGAATTTCATCTCGGCTCTGTTAAACTTGAGGTACTTGGGGTATAGCTCAGTGGTAGAATGATTGTTTAGCATGTGCAAAGACCCTGGGTCCAAACCCCAGCACTGCAAAACAACAAAACGCCTATTGGTAAGTTTGAGATTGCATAGTGATGTCAATCATAATTGCCTTTCTTTGGGCTTTGAATACGTTTTGCATGTTTTTTCAACTTTGCCTACACTTTGGAGTTGAGAGTATCATACCCATTTCATCCATGAGAAAACTAAGGCAAATAAAGGGGAAAAGGTCTTGCTCAGTTTATGGATTCCTGACTCCATGTTTAGTGCTCAGTGCGTTCTATTATACAGCAGCCCCATAACTATGTCTCCATAGGATGAAAACAGACTTTCCCCGTTTTAAAAATTAGTGTGTAGTAATGTTACAAACATATTTCACTGATATTTATGTACATGCCAGTCAGATTTCTATGGAGCAAGTCTTCTCTTCCCCAGGAAATGAATTTTCAAGTTGGAATCTCTCTAGACGCTATTTTGTCATTTTCAGCATGTGTTCACTTATTATATAATGTATTGCTATGTGCCTATCATTCACTGAGTGTGTGTGTGATTTTTTTCTTTTTTAGCATTACTGGAATTTGAACTCAGGGCCTCAGGCTTGCTAAGCACTTGAGCCACACACCCAGCCCAAGGTCTTCTTAGTCATAATAAACACTACTTACTGACCTATTAGTAGTCTGTGTCCCAAGTTTTCCTCTTATTTCTCCCCCATACCCCACTCCCTACTTTCTGTATTGGATTGCCTGTTCTACCTTTCCCCTTCATCGTTGTGTTCATATTTATATTGTTGCTTCAGGTCTATGCTTTGAAGGCTTTCCAGGCTTTCTAGACCAACTCATGGCTTGCTTTTGTGGGTTTGCTGTTCATTGACCTTTGATTTTTTCTTTTTTTTTTGATGGAACTGGGGCTTGAACGCAGGACTTTCTGCTTGCTAGGTAGGCACTCTACCACTTGAGCCATGCCCTCTGCAACCTTTAAATTTTTGAAAATTGTTTCTTAGAATATTACACATCCAGGCAATTTAACTGGAACCTAAAAATCTCATTTACCTAGCTGCTGCAAATTCACCATCTCTTCATTAAGAGTTGGACCAGTGCATTAAAGGCAAAGGTAGTGATTTCTAACAGAAAGGATTTGGGAGGAATGGAGCAGAGGCACTAGTTCCTTCAGGTAGACAAAGGCTTATTTATTTGGCTGTACTGGGGTTTGAACTCAGGACCTCAAGTTTGCTATGCAGGTACCCTCCCACTTGAGCCATACCCACAGCCCTTTTGGCTGTAGTTAGTTTGCCAATAGGGTCTTGTGTTTTTGCCTGGAGCTGGCCTAAGACCACAATCCACCTACCTATGGCCTCCCTACTGTGTAGCTGGGATAACAGATGCATACCACCATGCCCAGCTTGTTGGTTGAGATGGGGATCTCACAAATTTTTTGCCTGAGCTGGTCTTGAACTGTAATCTTCCCTGTAACTGAGGCAGGCATGAGTCATCACACCTGACAAAGCCTTTTTAAATGGAACCATGACCATTCAGTGTTGAGGAGGAAACTTCTGTGACAGAAGAGTAATGCAGTATTTTCAAACTGCTGTAGTGTGATAATATATAGCCTTTCTAGCCACTGATTCTTTGAAAAATGAAGGAATTGTTATTGATGCTCTCAGAACTTCCTCCCCAGACATTAGATAATAAATACTGGGATACAGATGGTATTCCTAGCTAATGAGAGGGGACAGGGATAAAGGAAAGGGGTGAAACATTTTGAAGTTGAAAGCACAAATTGCTTGAGAACATAATGTTAGCTACAGAATGAAATAATTGGCTTCTAAAGAAAGTAAAGGTCAGTTTAAGATGAGGAAAGTAGGGAAGGATGATATGGAAAGATTTGTTAAGGACTGTAATTTGATTCTTCTAAAAATTAGTAGGGTTGTTAGAGAACAGATTTCTACTAGCCAGCCTTAGGATCGAACCCTGATTCTACTTGTCCAATTCATTGGACAAGTCATTTCTAAAATCTTCCAGAATCTGTTTTCTATAAAATGGGATACTGTTTTAAAGGATAATAGTTTGATTAATGTACAGTAAGCAACTAGTACTTTTTTTTTTGGTGGTACTGGGTATGAATTCAGGGCCTTGTATTTGCTAGGCAGGCACTCTGCCACTTGTCATAATTCCAGCCTTTTAGTAAATATATGTCACTCACAAATGTGTCACTCGTAAATGTTAGAGTTTACCCCTTTACATTTTTGCAGTGATGGAGATTAATCCAAGGGCTTGTTCATGCTAAGCACACAACTGACCAGAGCTATATCCCCAGAACCCTTAATTTTTTAGCTTCTCTAATTTCTTTCTTCCTCCACTTTTTTCTATACTTGTCCATTGAAAAATTGTGGTATTACTCTATCATTTTCCAGCAGAAAATAAAGTTGAGACTAATAAATCCAAATATAATTCCTTGGGAACTGTTTCTCCTGGTGGACAGAAGCAGTCAGTAAAATGGGGCTGTGGGTTCTTTTCTCCTGCTGAAGTGGCTGATGTATTAATAGCTGCTAGAAACTTGGAGCTTTTCAGAACTGGAGTTTAAAATACTGGGTATTTATACACCCTAACTGTAGTATAAGGTGTAGTTAACTTGGTTTCTCCCAGGTTCCTGGGACAGCTCCTAAACTCTTGGAATTTCCTGACAAGAGTGCCTTGTTATTCGTAACGAGTCTCTTCGGTTTGCCCGAGTTTATGTTAATGAGATTGGGAGTTTAGGATGGAGGCCCTGAGATGCCTCTGGATTAGAGGATTGGAACTTTTGGCCTATCCAGTGACTGGGAGGAGGGCAAATGCTAGAGATTAAGATATACTGAATACTGTAAAAAACAAAAGCCTCTTGAACAACATGATTTGATGGGCTGGCATTCATGTGCAAGGAGGGTAGAGTACCCCACCTCTACAGGAAAAGATGCTCCAGTGCTTAGTATCCCCCTGGACCTTGCTCCGTTGTACCTCTTCACTTGGCTGTTCATCTGTATCTTTTCTAATATCCTTTATAATGAATAGGTAGACATAAGTAAAGGATTTTCCTGAATTCTTTGTGCTACCCTGACAAATTATCAAATGCAAGGAAGGGAGGCTATCGGTTCTGATTACAATCAGTCAAACACAGGTTACAACCTTGAACTTGGAATATGTAAGTGCAGGAAGTCTTATGAGACTGAGCCCCTAACTTGAGATCTGATGCTAACTCCAGGTAGATAGTGTCAGGACTGAATGATAGAACACTTACCTGGTGTTCAGAGTTGGAGAATTGCCTGGTTTGGAAAAACCCCACATATCTGAACACGAAGTGTTCTGTGTTGAGTGTAGAGAAGTAGGATTAGTTTTTCTTCATTAACTATATTATGATAAATGACTTTCTCC